AGTAATTGTAGACAGTTCTTCCAATATCTTCAATATGCGCCTCGGAATTGGATAAGGACTCGATGTGTCTGTCTTCACTTGTAGCCTCTGAGAAAGACCTGATCATGTGACTGGCATTGACTAATTAGAATTGAGATATCTGAGAGAGTCATGTGAGTGAGAGGTGCTTCGGAGCACGCAGCCGGGAGAAGGGAATTATAATTATTATATTCAGCCCAAGGGCACAGCGGCCACAAAAGGCATGGAATGTTTTATGGGGCATTACGGCCACACAAAGGGGATGCCACCGGGAAAGTCGAGGCATTATCAAGTGCTTGTAAAATTGTGAATGAGACTGATGAAGTGTGTACAGCCTGCGCAAAAAAACAAAGCAGAGCTCATGCCTTTCAAGCGACTTTTTTCAAATCATCATTAGAGTAGCATCATGCAGCCTTAAAATGTATTAAAAATCAAAACATATAGCCCAACGTTTGTATCACAACTAAAGTTACATAAATACATGTTGCTTTGTTAACCGCTCAACACAGAATTGCCGCATGTGCGCATTCCCTCTAATTGTTTGGAGAAAATAGCCTTTCTATTTTATAAATTCTATGTTCAATTGTATTCTTCATACTATAAAATAATGCCACAGAATTCTAAGCATATCTTATCTGCTAAATGAACTAGTGTAGCCCACAGCCATATGGCATAGCCAGATCAGGGCCTAACATAAGGACAACTCAGAGTATGCTATTCTGTTCTTCTGAAATAGACTACATTTTCTTCACATCATGTTTCTTTAGACCTGTCTAAAATAAATAATGGATTTATTGTGATGGTGTAGGCTATATTACATGGATTTATTAGACTTTTCAAAATGTAGATGTTCCAAAGGTCTGCATCAGTGGCTTGTAGGCTATGCATGGAACCGGGAGATGCTAAATGTGTTTGTTAATTAACGGTCAGTTACCGTGAGACCTGCAGTTATTTGCTTGACAATCACCGGCTGACAAAATGTCATGACCGCCACAGCCCTATACAGGGCCACATCAAAATGTATCAAAACCATTAGGAAGTGATTGATTCAAGTTCTTTATTATGTGTTGCTCATATAATGTCATCTGGCCGGTCATTCCATTCAATTTACTGACCAGATTAAGACTTAACAATAAAACAATGGGTTGATGCATTTACTACATACTGCAGTGAATTTGGGGGGTCCAGCGACTGTGAACCCCAAAACATTAGCCATTACGCTAAAATCCACAAATCTTGACAACGTTGCTAGGTTTTCTGTTAACGTCACTACAGTACTACACCATTTATTTTTCATTTGGTCCCTTCTCTGTCCATATCCTGGCCTGTCTTCTCTTTCATCTCCTCCTGTGTCAGTTTTCCTTCTCTCTCTCAAAAAAAATGGAGACGAAATATATCCTGTTGCCTACATCTCTTTTTCTATTCCTCTTTCATATCATTTAATCACCTTCACCTCCCTCTCTTAAGCGTAGTTTATACCTGGCACTAACATGTGTCCTGTGTCTTGTCCACATTTCCAGAAATGTGTCTACACATGGTATTAAAATGTATCTGTAATCCGTCCACTGTGTCTGCATTGTGACCAGGTTTCCTGGTCTCTCCCTGAATGCAAATGATTTGACAGATGTTCTTTCACTTTGAAGACACATTAATGCCATAAGTAGGGCTGTGGTGGTCACGACATTTTCGTCAGCCGATGATTGTCAAACAAATAACTGTCAGTCTCACGGTAACTGACCGTTAATTAACAAACACATTTAGCATCTCATGGCTTCCACACATACCATACAAGCCACTGATGCAGACCTTTGGAACATCTACATTTAAAAAAGTCTAATAAATCCATGTAATATAGCCTACACCATCACAATAAATCCATTATTTATTTTAGACAGGTCTAAAGAAACATGATAAGAAGAAAATGTAGTCTATTTCAGAAGAACAGAATAGCATACTCTGAGTTGTCCTTATGTTAGGTCCTGATCTAGCTATGCCATTTGGCTGGGGGCTACACTAGTTCATTTAGCAGTCAAGATTTGGTTAGAATTCCGTGGCATTATTTTATATTATTTTATAGTATGAAGAATACAATTGAACAAAGCTGAATAAAATACAAATACTATTTTCTCCAAACGATTTGAGGGAGTGCGCACATGTGGGTATACTGTATTGAGCGGTTAACAAATAAATAGGTACTCCTATATGCTTAATTTAGAGTTATTACTGTAACTTTAGTTGTTCGAAATTACATGACGTGACTCTAATGATGATTTGAAAAAAAGTTGCTTGAAAAGCATGAGCTCTGCTTTTTTTTTTTGCGCAGGCTGTAAACACTTCATCAGTCTCTCATTCCCAATTTGACAAGCACATGATAATGCCTTGAATTTCCCGGCGGCATCCCCTTTGTGTGGCCGTAATGCACCCTAGAACAATCCATGCCTTTTGCGGCCAGTGGCCATTGTTCCCTTCTCCCTGAGTGCTCCGTGCTCGGAAGCACCTCTCACTCACATGGCTCTCCATCACGTGATCGGGTCTTTCTCACAGGCTACAAGTGAAGACAGACACTCCGCGGACACAACTGCGCGTGTCATTATCCAATTCCGAGGTGCATATTTAAGATATTGGAAGAACTGTCCACATTTACTTTTCGTCAGCCATCAAGATGAGTAGGCCTAACGAACAGCAAAAGCACTAGCCTATGTCAATCTACTATCGCCCATAGTACAAAAGTTGACCTATTCTATTCTGTGTGAGAAATAAATATTCCAAACATAGTCTGGGACAGTTGTGGGATGCGATAGATCCCAAATTAATACAACCACTAGCATCAACAAAAACTTTTTCACGCAATGAGACTGACGCAACAGATCAGACTGTTTAGCTTAAAATGTGAAAAACTATTAGGCTATTTCTTCACATTATAAGCGCAGCAATGCGCACACTGCAGTAGGCCGTAAGGGCAAATGTTCCACCATTATCAAAAGTGACCGCAAATGCGATTATGCATGTAATGCTTTTATTATAAAGGTGCATTATTATGGTGAAAATAATCTTCCCCGAACTTGAAACTCATGCGCTGCTTATGTATGCCAGTTAGGCTCTACACCCCTTACAAAGCGGATTAATGTGCTTAATTTTAAGTTATTTGGACACTTCAGTTGTGATACAAACCTTATCAAAACATATAGGCCTATGGGCTAGGCTACATGAGGTGTGCGACTATGATTCTAAAAAGTCGCAAAAAAAAGGCTTTGTTTCTTGCCTTGCATCATTCACAAGTGATAATATATTATTCACAAGTGATAGGCTAATATTGTCACCCATCAGACGTTTTGGCCTTTTCTTTGCTACTCTGCCTAGAAGGTCAGCATCCCGGAATCGCCTCTTCACTGTTGACGTTGAGACTGGTGTTTTGCGGGTACTATGTAATGAAGCTGCCAGTTGAGGACCTGTGAGGCGCCTGTTTCTCAAACTAGACACTAATGTATTTGTCCTCTTGCTCAGTTGTGCACCGGGGCCTCCCACTCCTCTTTCTATTCTGGTTAGAGCCAGTTTGCGCTGTTCTATGAAGGGAGTAGTACACAGCGTTGTACGAGATCTTCAGTTTCTTAGCAATTTCTCGCATAGAATAGCAAACACAACGTGCCATTGGAACACAGGACTGATGGTTGCTGATAATGGGCCTCTGTACGCCTATGTAGATATTCCATAAAAAATCTGCAGTTTCCAGCTACAATACAACATTATGCCTACACTGTATTTCTGATCAATTTTATGTTATTTTAATGGACAAAAAAATTGCTTTTCTTTCGAAAACGAGGACATTTCTAAGTGACCCCAAACTTTTGAACGGTAGTGTACATTGTCCTGGGAAAGACAAGAAGGCCCAGGGCCCACTTATGTTCGTACTCCCACCTTTCAATAGTCCTTTTCATTCATGGATATTCATTCGCCTACAAATAATGGGATGTTACTTTGACAACAACCACCTTTCTAAACATTGGCTACATCCCAATTATCTCTGCTTCCTCCCAAATTGTGCACTTGTTCAATTCCCTTCAAAGGAAATTACTGGTATAAAACAAATATGGTCAAAATTCACTGAATCCCAGGCCTCCACCAATCCAATGCTTTTAGATTTTTGGGAGGTGGTGAACGAGTGTACACTTCAGGAGAAAGAAGATATTATTGTCCTGCGCACCCATTGTCCTGGCACAGGCCCACTCCTCTGTTTCTGAGTTCCGATAGGCCCTCATTACAAGACTAGAAGAGGATGCGTTCTGCTCCAATGCCCTGGCTGCCCCCCTCTCTGCTAATCCATGTTCACCACTCAGGATTGAATTACTGCCCCTAAATGCTCCTTGGCAGCCGCCCCAAAGGCTGTCCCAGGCACCTCTGTCAAGTCTGAGACAGGGAGAGAGAGAGGGGGAGAGAGACAGACAATAGAGGGATTGGAAGAGAAAGATGGAGGAGTGATAGTGTTTCCATGTCATTTGAAAGATCAGGTGGATATCACAGTGGAAATCAAATCAGTTTTAGTTCATATGAGAAACAAAAGTGGCCCGATCTACAACTAACGGGAAATAAGCAAAAACGAGAGGTGATTTATTGTTTCTTACCGGCTGATCGCTGTGTTTTTCCTACTGCGGTCTTTGAGTCTTCGTTTACGCCTCAGTACTGAAGCACTGTTACGTTTAGGCAGCAGACTGTGAATCCGTCTCCAGTACAAGGCAGACAGCCCAAACAAAATGGAAACCAAGTTATTGGGTTTTCTGTCGAGCGTCTGGTATCATAATGCGTGTCCACAGAGAAGATCCTGAATTTACCTCTATTTTGGAGAATTTGATTCACAGTAGCTGATTGCCTGCCTTGTTTAAGTGTTTATTACCATATTGTCATTACTGCTATTATCATCTATGTAACTTAATACATTTAGTCACTCTTAGTAAAAATACTTTCCCCTCCCCTCTCTCTCGTCTCAGTCAAAAGCTGAGTTTGCTGGAGCGTTGTCGCATGCCTAATTCGCGACAGTCGGCGGCGGTGAGGGGCAGGGTGCTGATGCCGGGGAACCCGGACTCCATTGAAGAGAGTCCTTCCAAGGAAACCAAACCCGGCGGCTTCAGTAACCGGGAGCGCTTTCGCACAGCCTTCCGGATGAAGGCCTACACCATGCGTCAGAGCTCTGATGGTATAACAACACTTCCAATTCAGCCAATTCCAATCCACATTTCCTCAATTATAATTAAAGTTTACTTTCTGACTTGACTGAATTGAAATTAAATTGACACCAACCCTGCTGTCAATCAACACAACTGTGACCGTCTGTGAAATAATTCAGTAAAATAATCTGGTGTTACAGTATGTGGTAATCTGGAGTTATGACCTATTTTGTTTTGCCCAAGGAACTGTTGTGTCACCCTTAATAAGGTATGACATAGGCTTATGGAAGATTTGTGAAATATCTATGTAGTGCTCATGAAGACTTTATGTATGCTATATAAAGCCTTTATAACGTGTAGTTTGTAAGTAGGGCCAGTCTTTGTTCCCAGATGCTGGAGCCCTGCAGGACCCTGAGGAGAGGGGCTTCCCTGCAGACATCCTCATGGAGGAGATGATCCCCACGCTGAAGCTGGTCATCAGGGCAGTCAGGTAGTAGAAGGAGTTTAAAGGGGAAGTTCCGTATTCAACAACTTAATGTTACATGGTTCGACACCCTGAAAGTAATCTGTGGCCAGGAGAAACTGTAATCCATGATTTGGAACAGCCACTACAACTCCAGCTAACTTTAGCCACATCTAGCTAAAAATCAATGGAAGAGATAGAACTTACATGCATATGACATACTTTAAAGCCAACCACTTGGCTCTCTATAAACTGAGGGATGGGACCTGAGAAGTGTAACCTCTTTTAAATTCATAGACAGAGCTATGGATACAAGGACTGACTTCATGAGATCAACATGAGTTTGTTTTAATCCCGGCCTTATTGTGGTACCTCTTTACATTCCAGCTCGGTAATAACCTGGTAATCAGATGGTAATAACTATGTATTTACTAGGTAATTAGCTAGTAATTACCATTAGTAGTTACCATGTTGTTTCTTCCCCAATCCTTTCCTGACATCCCAACCAGCCCATGGTTGTTACCTGGAAACAGTGACTGTAGTTTCTATGTAATAACTCTCCATCCGTGCTGGAAAGTGCATCATTACCTGTTTCTCTTTAGTTTTACCGTTATATCCCTTCCCCATAACAAACATAACAGTGACATGTGCTTGTAAAGTAAAATTATTCACTTTTTTTTACCAATCACAAGAGCTGAACGCCCTAATGGACTTGCCGCCACTGGGCTGTTTCCTTCCATACCATTGTCCGTGGGTGAATAGGGTTTTGCATGGGATGGCAAGTTCTGTAGGGTTTCATTTAAAAAAAGGTGAGAGTGAGACTTGTCTAGCTCCATAAAACTATGGGAAAGGTCACCAGAAACTGGATTGCTTTTTTCTACTCAGAGATAGATAGAGACCATATTTTATGACAAACAACTTAAATATGTCCTCTACTATTAGCAACTGTAATTTAATTTCTAGGGACATTGAGTTGAAATTAAATGGACCGAGAACAGAACTACCGTAGCATTACTTTTGTACCTGCCGGCGGGGCGGGAGTAACAGCTGGCGAGAAGTGCACAATATCTGTCTTATCTCCATGTTTCTGGTTTGTAATGCTCGTTAGTTTCAACAAATAATAATAATAATAAAATGTATTTGTTTGTGATGATTTTAATAATAGGTTGGACATTTATGAAAATGAACCATGCGTCAACGTCGCAATGATGCACAACCACCATTTTCTGCCTTTTTTATATTTATATTTTTATAAAATGGATCACATAATAGCTATGTTAACCATAATTTTCTCGTCTCACTTTAATAGGAATGTAGTAAATGTTTTTCACCATTTTTTATGACCAATCAGGTGCGCTCCAGCTGTCCTTGTCATGCGTGCTCCTCGTGTCTTGATAGAATAAACGTATATTATTCTCTTCACAAAAGGCAAACTCATCATGCTTATTACATTGTGTCACCCTGGCGCCGGAGAAGATGGCTGCCGTTTTACGGCCCTCTAACCAATTGTACTATTATGTGTGTTTTTTCGCATTATTTGTAATTTATTCTGTACATCATGTTTCTGCCACCGTCTCTTATGACCAAAAATAACTTCTGGATATCAGGACAGTGATTACTCACCTCGCATTGGACGAAGATTTTTTTCTTCAATGAGTCGGACGCAGAGGATATTCTACAGACACCCGACAAGGCCCAAATCCCCGTCATTCGCATGAGAAAGAGACAGAGATAACGTGGACATAGGTCGGGGTGCCTTGTAAGGAACCAAAGGCGAGCGAGTAAACTGCCTCTCCCATCAATCCTATTAGCCAACGTTCAATCATTTGAAAATAAATTGGACGACCTAAGATTACGGTTATCCTACCAACGGACATTAAAAACTGTAATATCTTATGATTCACTGAGTCGTGGCTGAACGACGACATGGATAACATACAGCTGGCGGGATATACGCTACATCAGCAGGATAGAACGGTTGACTCCCGTAAGACAAAAGGGTGGCGGTCTGTGGATATTTGTAAACAACAGCTGGTGCATAAAATCTAATACTAAGGAAGTCTCAAGGTTTTGCTCGCCTGAGGTAGAGTATCTCATGATAAGCTGTATACCACACTATTTACCAAGAGAGTTTTCATCTATATTATTCGTAGCTGTCTATTTACCACCACAAACCGATGCTGGCACTAACATTGCACTCAATGAGCTGTACAAGGCCATAAGCAAACAGGAAAATGCTCATCCAGAGGCAGCGCTCCTAGTGGCCGGGGACTTTAATGCAGGGAAACTTAAATCCGTTCTACCTCATTTCTACCAGCATGTTAAATGTGCAACCAGAGGGAAAAAAACTCTAGACCACCTTTACTCCACACACAGAGACGCGTACAAAGCTCTCCCTCGCCATCCATTTGGCAAATCTGACATTAACTCTATCCGCCTGATTCCTGCTTATCACCAAAAACTAAAGCAGGAAGCACCAGTGACTCGGTTAATAAGGAAGTGGTCAGATGACGTAGATGCTAAGCTACAGGAATGTTTTGCTAGCAGAGACTGGAATATGTTCCGGGATTCTTCCGATAGCATTGAGGAGTACACCACGTCAGTCACTGGCTTCATCAATAACCGCATCGATGATGTCGTCCCCACAGTGGCCGTACGTACATACCCCAACCAGAAGCCATGGATTACAGGCAACATCCGCACTGAGCTAAAGGGTAGAGCTGCCGCTTTCAAGGAGCGGGACTCTAACCCGGACGCTTACAAGAAATCCTGCTATGCCGTCCGCCGAAACATCAAAGAGTCAATACAGGACTAAGATTGAATCGTACTACACCGGCTCCGACGCTCGTCGGATGTGGCAGGGCTTGCAAACTATTACAGACTACAAAGGGAAGCACAGCCGCGAGCTGCCCAGTGACACAAGCCTACCAGACGAGCTAAATCACTTCTATGCTTGCTTCGAGGCAAGCAACACTGAAGCATGCATGAGAGCATCAGCTGTTCCAGATGACTATGTGATCACGCTCTCCGTAGCCGATGTGAGTAAGACTTTTAAGCAGGTCAACATTCACAAGGCCGCAGGGCCAGACGGATTACCAGGACGTGTACACCGAGCATACCCTGACAAAGTATTGCAAGTATCTTCACTGACATGTTCAACATGTCCCTGACTGAGTCTGTAATATCAACATGTTTCAAGCAGACCACCATAGTCCCTGTGCCCAAGAACACTAAGATAACCTGCCTAAATGACTACTGACCCGTAGCACCCACTTCTGTAGCCATGAAGTGCTTTGAAAGGCTGGTCATGGCTCACATCAACACCATTATCCCAGAAACCCTAGACCCACTCCAATTTGCATACTGCCCCAACAGATCCACAGATGATGCAATCTCTATTGCACTCCACACTGCCCTTTCCCACCTGGACAAGAGGAACACCTACAGTTGAAGTCGAAAGTTTACATACACAAGTCATTCAAACTCGTTTTTCAACCACTCCACAAATTTCTTGTTAACAAACTATAGTTTTGGCAAGTCGGTTAGGACATCTACTTTGTGTATGACACAAGTCATTTTTCCAACAATTGTTTACAGACAGATTAGTTCACTTATAATTCACTCTATCACAATTCCAGTGGGTCAGAAGTTTACATACACTAAGTATGTAAACTGTGCCTTTATACAGCTTGGAAAATTCCAGAAAATGATGTCATGGCTTTAGAAGCTTCTGATAGGCTAATTGACATCATTTGAGTCAATTGGAGGTGTAGCTGTGGATGTATTTCAAGGCCTACATTCAAACTCAGTGCCTCTTTGCTTGACATCATGGGAAAATCAAAAGAAATCAACCAAGACCTCAGAACATTTTTTGTAGACCGCCACAAGTCTGGTTCATCCTTGGGAGCAATTTCCAAACGCCTGAAGGTACCACGTTCATCTGTACAAACAATAGTATGCAAGTATAAACACCATGGGACCACGCAGCCATCATACCGCTCAGGAAGGAGACGCGTTCTCTCCTAGAGATGAACGTACTTTGGTGCGAAAAGTGCAAATCAATCCCAGAACAACAGCAAAGGTCCCTGTGAAGATGCTGGAAGAAACAGGTTCAGAAATATCTATATCCACAGTAAAACCAGTCCTATTTCGACATAACCTGAAAGGCCGCTCAGCAAGGAAGAAGCCACTGCTCCAAAACCGCCATAAAAAAGCCAGACTACGGTTTGCAACTGCACATGGGGACAAAGATCGTACTTTTTGGAGAAATGTCCTCTGGTCTGATAAAAAAAAATAGAACTGTTTGACCATAGTGACCATCGTTATGTTTGGAGGAAAAATGGGGTGGCTTGCAAGCCGAAGAACAACATCCCAACCGTGAAGCATGGGGGTGGCAGCATCATGCTGTGGGGGTGCTTTGCTGCAGGAGGGACTGGTGCACTTCACAAAATAGATGGCATCATGACGAAGGAAAATTATGTCGATATATTGAAGCAACATCTCAAGACATCAGTTAGGAAGTTAAAGCTTGGTCGCTAATGGGTCTTCCAAATGGACAATGACCCCAAGCATAATTCCAAAGTTGTGGAAAAATAGCTTAAGGACAACAAAGTCAAGGTATTGGAGTGGCCATCACAAAGCCCTGACCTCAATCCTATAGAAAATGTGTGGGCAGAACTGAAAAAGCGTGTGCGAGCAAGGCGGCCTACGAACCTGACTCAGTTACACCAGCTCTGTCAGGAGGAATGGGCCAAAATTCACCCAACTTATAGTGGGAAGCTTGTGGAAGGCTACCCGAAACGTTTGACCCAAGTTAAACAATTGCGATGAAAGAAATTAAAGCTGAAATAAATCATTCTCTCTACTATTATTCTGACATTTCACATTCTTAAAATAAAGTGGTGATCCTATCTGACCTAAGACAGGGAATTTTTTACTAGGATTAAATGTCAGGAATTGTGAAAAACTGAGTTGAAATATATTTGGCTAAGGTGTATGTAAACTTCCAACTTCAACTGTACGTGAGAATGCTATTAATTGACTACAGCTCAGCATTCAACACCATAGTGCCCTCAAAACTCATCAGTAAGCCACGGACCCTGGGACTAAACACATCCCTCTAGAACTACATCCTGGACTTTCTGACGGGCCGCCCCCAGGTGGTAAGGGTAGGTTACAACACATCTGCCACGCTCATCCTCATCACGGGGGCCCCTCAGGGGTGCATGCTCAGTCCCCTCCTGTACTCCCTGTTCACCCATGACTGCATGGCCAGGCACGACTCCAACACCATTATTACGTTTTCCGACGACACAACAGGGGTAGGCCTGATCACTGACAACGATGAGACAGCCTATAGGGAGGAGGTCAGAGACCTGGCCGTGTGGTGCCAGGATAACAACCTCTCCCTCAACGTGATCAAGACAAAGGAGATGATTGTGGACTACAGGGAAAAAAAGAGCACTGGGCACTCCCCCATTCTCATCGACAGGGCTGTAGTGGAACAGGTTGAGAGCTTCAAGTTCTTTGGTGTCCACATCACCAACAAGCTATCATGGTCCAAACACACCAAGACAGTCGTGAAGAGGACACGACAAAGCCTATTCCCCCTCAGGAGACTGAAAAGATTTGGCATGGGTCCTCAGATCCTCAAAATGTTCTACAGCTGCACCATCGAGAGCATCCTGAATGGTTGCATCACCGCCTGGTATGGCAACTGCTCGGCGTCCGACCGCAAGGCACTACAGAGGGTAATGCGTACGGCCCAGCTTCTACCCCCAAGCCATAAGACTCATGAACAACTAATCATGGCTACCCGGACTATTTGCATTGTCCCCCCCACACCTCTTTTACGCTGCAGCTACTCTGTTTATTATCTATGCATAGTCACTTTAACTCTACCCGCATGTACATATTACCTAAATTACCTCCACTAACAGGTGCCCCCGCACATTGACTCTGTACCGGTACCCCCTGTATATAGCCACCCTACTGTTATTTTATTTTACTGCGGCTCTTTAATTATTTGCTATTTTTATTTTTTGCTTATCTATTTTTTTACTCAACACTTTTTTATTTTCTTAAAACTGCATTGCTGGTTAAGGGCTTGTAAGTAAGCATTTCACTGTAAGGTTTACACCTGATGTATTCGGCGCGTTGTGGCAAATAAAATGTGATTTGATTTGATTTCTATGGCTTGACATAAGGTAATTGACCCCAGAATCATAAATATATATTTTTCTAACCACTAACCTGTCGATAAAAGCTTATGCGAGAAGATGATCCATCAAGTCAATTGATTAAGGCATAATTTGAATATCATATCATTTTCAAACATTCAGTCACTTGTTGATATTTTGCTAACATTATAAAAGGAATATGAACTAGAGTAGACAATGGCCTGTGCTTACATTTTTATTTTATTTTATTTTATTCCAGGTCATCAGTTCACCTTGTTACTTTTGTCCCACCCGTCTCTCCTGTAACTTCTCCTAGGCTAACACCCAATACCAACTAGCATGATACTTGAAACCTATGCTGTCATTTAGTGACTAGATGGGTTAAGAAAATGATATATGTTTGGAACCTGAAACATTAAACACATCTCTACAACCGAAAAACATTCCTGAGTCCTTTTTTAAACTTATATCGCTCAAAACCACTTTTTGTTGATAACTCTGCAAAACATGGTCTGATTTGTATTTCTTTTTGCAAGGAGGTCGTCCGCCACATTAGGAACGTGCTGACTTCACTACGTCATTTTAGCTTTTGTTTTATCTGAGAAAATGTGTATTCACCCCCTTGGCATTTTTCCTATTTTGTTGCCTTACAACCTGGAATTAAAATTGATTTTTTTGGGGTTTGTATCATTTGATTTACACAACATGCCTACCACTTTGAAGATGCAAAATCTTTTAGATTGTGGAACAAACAAGAAATAAACTTGAGCGTGCATAACTATTCACCCCCCCCAAAGTCAATACTTTGTAGAGCCACCTTTTGCAGCAATTACAGCTGCAAGTCTCTTGGGGTATGTCTCTATAAGCTTGGCACATCTAGCCACTGGGATTTTTGCCCATTCTTCAAGGCAAAACTGCTCCAGCTCCTTCAAGTAGGATGGGTTCCGCTGGTGTGCAGCAATCTTTAAATCATACCACAGATTCTCAATTGGATTGAGGTCTGGGCTTTGACTAGGCCATTCCAAGACATTTAAATGTTTCTCCTTTAAACCACTTGAGTGTTGCTTTAGCAGTATGCTTAGGGTCATTGTCCTGCTGGAAGGTGAACCTCTGTCCCAGTCTCAAATCTCTGGAAGACTGAAACAGGTTGCCCTCAAGAATTTCCCTGTATTTAGCGCCATCCATCATTCCTTCAATTCTGACCAGTTTCCCAGTCCCTGCCGATGAAAAACATCCCCACAGCATGATGCTGTGTTCTTGGGGTGATGAGAGGTGTTGGGTTTTCGCCAGACATAGCGTTTTCTTTGATGGCCAAACAGCTAAATATTTGTCTCATCTGACCAGAGTACCTTCTTCCATATATTTGGGGAGTCTCCCACATGCCTTTTGGTGAACACCAAACGTGTTTGCTTATTTTTTTCTTTAAGCAATGGCTTTTTTCTGGGCACTCTTCCGTAAAGCCCAGCTCTGTGGAGTGTACTGCTTAAAGTGGTCCTATGGACAGATACTCCAATCTCTGCTGTGGAGCTTTGCAGCTCCTTCAGGGTTATCTTTGGTCTCTTTGTTGCCTCTCTGATTAATGCCCTCCTTGCTTGGTCCGTGAGTTTTGGTGGGCGGCCCTCTCTTGGCAGGTTTGTTGTGGTGCCATATTCTTTCCATTTTTTAATAATGGATTTAATGGTGCTCCGTGGGATGTTCAAAGTTTTTGATATTTTTTTATAACCAACCCTGATCTGTACTTCTACACAACTTTGTCCCTGACCTGTTTGGAGAGCACCTTGGTCTTCATGGTGCCCCTTGCTTAGTGGTGTTGCAGACTCTGGGGCCTTTCAGAACAGGTGAATATATACTGAGATCATGTGACAGATCATGTGACACTTAGATTGCACACAGGTGGACTTTATTTAACTAATTATGTGACTTCTGAAGGTAATTGGTTGCACCAGATCTTATTTAGGGGCTTCATAGCAAAGGGGGTGAATACATATGCACAAACCATTTTTCAATTTTGACTATTTTGTTTATGTCCATTACATGAAATCCAAATAAAAATTAGAATTACAGGTTCTAATGCAACAAAATAGGAATAACGCCAAGGGGGGGGGGGGGGGGGGGGGGGGGGGGGGGGGGGGGGGGGGGGGCATTAATCAGAGAGGCAACAAAGGGCACTGTACTTTCACCCCATGTTACTTTCGTCCCGGCTCTCCCCTACGAAGCAGTTTAGGATGAGTTTTTTTCAAACACAAAGCTACTGCACTAGCTAGGTTATCTTCTGTTCTGTATTGTGGTTTTTGAGTCCTTTCTTTGATTTTGATTTACAGGTGTCCTTATAAAGTAATGTTAACCATTTCACATGTTCTGATTGGATGAAGTTAATTATTAACTTTCCTCACAATTTATCTGGTTCTAATTTGAGGAGTTAATTCACTTCATCCAGTTTGTATGGTATTTATGGTACCTTTTTACTTGGTCAAAAGACCAGCTGCACCTAACCCACTTTGGACGCTGTCTCACAGGAGGAATGAAGTTCCCCTCTGGGAAAAATTAAGTAATTCAGTTTTGTTCTACAGGATTATGAAGTTCCTCTTGAACAAGAAGAAGTTTAAGGAGACTTTGAGGCCTTATGATGTCAAGGACGTGATTGAGCAGTACTCTGCCGGCCACCTAGACATGCTCTGTAGAATCAAATACCTCCAGACAAGGTAAGCAGAGTTGGGGTTACATTTTTGAGTTGACGGAAATGAACCGAGTTGACACTGAACAGCACAGTGAATTGTATTACCCAAAGCATTTGATTTACTGTGCTTAGTGAAAGTCTACACACCCCTTTACATTCTTCACAGTTTGATGTTTTAAATTGAAATCTAAAAAGCGATTACATTTGATGTAATCGAATGTTAATCCCAAAGACACACCAGAATAGCTTTCCAAGAGGTGTTGAGCGTTCCTGAATTGTCCAGTCTCAGTCCTGACTTAAATCTGCTTTAAAATGAGAAACAAGATTTGAATATTGCTGTCCATCAATGACTCCCAACCAAATTTACTGAGCTTGAGACATTTTGACAAAAACAATGAGTTGTTCAAAGTTGGTAGAATCTTATTCAAAGTGATTTACATGTTTAAAATGTCCATGAGATCCAAGGTGTCAAAAATGTACATGTTTTAAGTAAACAAGGCACCAATTCAGTGCACGCTGTGTAATTGTAAGATGCTGTGGTATGTTTGGCTTCAATTCCATTTGAATCCAGACAAAATAGGAAATTAATAAAAATAATTTCACAAATCCTCACCAAAATGAATAGACAATATTTAGAATTCAAGAACTGTATTTCAATTAATTATCTGGCCTGTATCCCAAAGGCAAGGCCTCCCATCCTGAAACGTATACAGTACCAGTCAAAGGTTTGGACACACCTACTCATTCAAGGGTTTTTCTTTATTTTTTATATTTTTTACATTGTAGAATAATAGTGAAGACATCAAAACTATGAAATAACACATATGGAATCATGTAGTAACCAAAAAAGTGTTAAACAAATATTTTATATTTGAGGTTCTTCAAATAGCCACCCTTTGCCTTGATGACAGCTTTGCACACTCTTGGCATTCTCTCAACCAGCTTCACCTGGAATGCTTTTCCAACAGTCTTGAAGGAGACATATGCTGAACACTTGTTGGCTGCTTTTCCTTCACTCTGCCGTCCGACTCAATTGGGTTGAGGTCGGGGGATTGTGGAGGCCAGGTCATCTGATGCAGCACACCATCACTCTCCTTCTTGGTAAAATGGCCCTTACATAACCTGGAGGTGTGTTGGATCATTGTCCTGATGAAAACAAATTAAAGTCCCACTAAGCCCAAACCAGATGGGATGGCGTATCACTGCAGAATGCTGTGGTAGCCATGCTGGTTAAGGGTGCCTTGAATTCTAAATAAATCACAGACAGTGTCACCAGAAAGTACCCCTACACCATAACACCTCCTTCTCCATGCTTTACGGTGGGAAATACACATGCAGAGATCATTTGTTCACCCGCACCGCATCTCACAAAGACACAGCGGTTGGAACCAAAAATCTCAATTTTGGATTCCAGACCAAAGGACACATTTCCACCGGTCTACTGTCCATTGCTCGTGTTTCTTGGCCCAAGCAGGGCTCTTCTTCTTATTGGTGTCCTTTAGTAGTGGTTTCTTTGCAGCAATTCGACCATGAAGGCCTGATTCACACAGTCCCCTCTGAACAGTTGATGTTGAGATGTGTCTGTGACTTGAACTATGTTAAGCATTTATTTGGGCTGCAATATCTGAGGCTGGTAACTCTAATGAACTTATCCTCTGCAGCAGAGGTAACTCTGGGTCTTCCATTCCTGTGGCGGTCTTCATGAGAGCCAGTTTCATCATAGCGCTTGATGGTTTTTGTGACTGCACTTGAAGAAACTTTAAAAGTTCTTGAAATTTTCCGTATTGATTGACCTTCATGTCTTAAAGTAATGGTGGACTGTCGTTTCTCTTTGCTTATTTGAGCTGTTCTTGCCATAATATGGACGTGGTCTTTTACCAAATAGGGCTAACTTCTGTGTACCCCACCTACCTTGTCACAACACAACTGATTGGCTCAAATGCATTAAGAAGGAAAGAAATTCCACAAATGAACTTTTAACAAGGCACACCTGTTAATTGAAATGCATTCCAGGTGACTACCTCATGAAGCTGGTTGAGAGAATGCCAAGAGTGTGCAAAATTTGTCAGGGCAAAGGGTGGCTATTTGAAGAATCTCAAATATATTTGTTTAACACTTTTTTGGTTACTACATGAATACATGTGTTATTTCATAGTTTTGATGTCTTCACTATTATCCTTCAATGTAGAAAATAATAAAAATAAAGAAAAACCCTTGAATGAGTAGGTGTGTCCAAACTTTTGACTGGTAGTGTACATCTGCTAAACTTTCCACCATGAACTTCTGTGTAAAAAATGGAAGTTTAACTAATCCTTTGGTTGCACTTAGCATTTGTGCAATTTATGCGGAGAACATTTGAGCCCTTGTGTGGTGACATGACTCTTTGTGTTGAAACCATATCACAATATCTGTTCATACTCATGTTATCTGTTCTTTTTTTTCTTCTTTTTTTCAGAATAGACATGATCCTTGCCCCTGGTGCCCCTCTGACCCCGAAACATAAGAAGAGCCAGAACAAACAGAACCCATTCTCCTTTCCAACTCAACAGTCACCAAGGTCTGACTGCAAAAGTCATTTTCCGTCAAAACATTAGCCCACCATCATACAATCTTGCATTGTTTATAATAATGCCACCCTCAACGATTTACCTAATGAAGATGTGTGGTGCTTGCATCTTGTACTGAATTGCTCTGATCAAACTGTATTCATCCCTAAATGTGTTGCAGGCATGAGTCCTATCTAGCCAAAGCATCCATGCCAGATGCTGACCAAGACCAAAGCATGATGGGTAGATTTGTCAGAGTGGAGAGACAGGTACAGTAATGTACAGAACATTTTCCATAATGCCTTATCAGTCCATGTTCAGTCCCTTTTCTCCAGGTGTGGTCCAAATTTGCGTTATATATATATATATATATAAACCTTTATTTTACCAGGGAAGACATGTTGAGACCTATGACTTTTTTTCAAATGTGACCTGTACAATACAATACATTATACAGAAAATATGCATACACATTAAAATACAAAACACAGTCATGGGAAACACAAGTAAAACATCACAAATCACCTACAAAAACAGTTACATTCCTCCAAAAATATGTCCCCAATCAATACTCTAAACTGCCCGAACGGCACCAGAACATTGATTAAATGTATTTAGAATATTGCTCTAGCAATACAGTGCTTTAAGACTAAAAGCAGATTTACCTAGCTTGGTGGAGACCCTAGGAACCTCAAGAGTTAACCAATCCTGTGAACGGGTTAGGCAACTCAGGTGTCTATACTTCAACAGCAAAGTTAGATAAGACTGAAGTTTATGAAGTAGGGCCTTGTAAACAAAAAGGAAGTAATGTAGAGATCTACGGGTCTTTAGCAAAGTCCAGCCAACCTTTTGATACAGGATGCAGTGATGGGTATCAAAACTGTCACCTGTAACAAAACGAAGGGCACTATTGTAGATGGCATCCAAAGGTTTAAGAGTAGTAGCAGCTGCACTTTGATAAATAATATCACCATAACCAAGAACACATAAAATGGTTGACTGAATAATCTGCTTCCTACTGCTTACAGAAGGCACGATCTGTTTCTGTAGAAAAAGCCAACTTTAAATCTTAGCTTCTTAACCAGCTCATCTATATGTTTTTTAAACGTCAAATCCATATCAATCCAAATGCCTAAGTATTTATATGCGGGAACACGTTCAATTGGTGAACCATCTAATGAGTGAACATGCAGTTCATCTGAAACATTCTTACGAGAGTTTTAAAAACAACATCTAAAGGGACAATACACTCCAAAATCAAAGTTTGTCATATGTTTTCAGACCTCAAAAGTGGTTCCAAATTAATGGAAAAGTGTGGTCACCCAGGAGAAGTTTGGAAATGTAGATTGTTGGGACACTGGGTTGCAGATAGGTAGGGAAATTGAGAGGCAGGTAGACAATAATCAATTTATATTGAACAAAAATATAAACGCAACATGCAAACATTTCTAAGATTTTACTGAGTTACAGTGCATATAAGGAAATCAGTCAATTGAAATAAATTCATTAGGCCCTAATCTATGTATTTTACATGGGTGGGCATAGGCCCACCCACTTGGGAGCCAGGTCCAGCCAATCAGAATTAGTTTTTCCCCACAAAAGGGCTTTATTACAGTCCAAAATACTCCTCAGTTTCATCAGCTGTCCGAGTGGCTTGTCTTAGACGATCCCGCAGGTGAAGAAGCCGGATGTGGAGGTCCTGGGCTGGCGTGGTTACACGTGGTCTGCGGTTGTGAGGCCGGTTGGACGTACTGCCAAATTCTCTAAAACAACGTTGGAGGTGGCTTATGGTAGAAAAATGAACATTACATTCTCTGGCAACAGCTCTGGTAGACATTCCTGCAGTCAGCATGCCAATTGTGCGCTCCCTCAAAACTTGAGACATCTGTGGCATTGTGTTGTGTGACAGAACTGCACATTTCAGTGGCCTTTTGTCTCCAGCACAAGGTGCAGCTGTGTAATGATCATGCTGTTTAAACAGCTTCTTGATATGCCACACCTGTCAGGTGGATGGACAAATGCTCATTAACAGGGATGTAAACAAATTTGTGCACACAGAGAGAAATAAGCTTTTTGTGCATATGGAACATTTCGGGGATCTTTTTTTTCTGCTCATGAAACATGGGACCAACACTTTACATGTTGCGTTTACTGTATATTTTAGTTCAGTATACATGTATTGTTTTTCAGTATATTTGTTATACACAAAAAAAGGTGCTAAGTAGAACCATATAGGGTTCTTGGGTTTGTTCCCAGAGGGCAACCCTTTTTGGTGCTTGTTAGAACCCTTTGCAGAGGGTTCTTCAAATAATCCTCTGTAAATTGTTCTACCTAGAACCCTCTATGAAGGGTTCTACCAATAACCCTTTTATCATCTAAAGGTTCTTCCTAGAACCCTCCATGTAGGGTTCCAACAGCCTTATTAGCCTTTACAATTAAACTAATTATGACAATATATAACATATCATTTGAGGGCCTTGTTATACCCTAACACAGTGGTGTAAGGAAACTCCTGGTTTACAGGCCACATTAGGCCTGCATGCCACATTATGCTGGCTTGCAAAGTGATGTGTAATTCCTATTGGAATCCAGCCAGAGTGAGTATATCATAAAATTGGATATTTTAATCACCCGTAACCTGCATTCAGAATGACTGCATGTGTAGGGAGGATTGAGTAATAAGAATACCTAAATCATCTAAACTGGAAGAACCATCTCAGTAACGGGTGCAATAAGTCCAACTACTAAGAGATTGGATTAGTTAGTCTTTTTTTTTTGTAGCATAAGATTAATCAACCACTCAATGTACAGATTTTGAAACAAACAATTCTGAAAATCATTTTACATTTACATTTTAGTCATTTAGCAGACGCTCTTATCCAGAGCGACTTACAGGAGCAATTAGGGTTAAGTGCCTTGCTCAAGGGCACATTTACGTCATTTAGCAGACGCTCTTATCCAGAGCGACTCACAAATTGGTGCATTCACCCTGTAGCCAGTGGGATAACCACTTTACAATTTTTTTTTTGGGGGGGGGGGGGGGGGGGGGGGTAGAAGGATTACTTTATCCTATCCCAGGTATTCCTTAAAGAGGTGGGGTTTCAAATGTCTCCGGAAGGTGGTGAGTGACTCCGCTGTCCTGGCGTCGTGAGGGAGCTTGTTCCACCATTGGGGTGCCAGAGCAGCGAACAGTTTTGACTGGGCTGAGCGGGAACTATGCTTCCGCAGAGGAAGGGGAGCCAGCAGGCCAGAGGTGGATGAACGCAATGCCCTCGTTTGGGTGTAGGGACTGATCAGAGCCCGAAGGTACAGAGGTGCCGTTCCCCTCACTGCTCCATAGGCAAGCACCATGGTCTTGTAACGGATGCGAGCTTCAACTGGAAGCCAGTGGAGTGTGCGGAGGAGGGGGGTGACGTGAGAGAACTTGGGAAGGTTGAACACCAGACGGGCTGCGGCGTTCTGGATGAGTTGTAGGGGTTTAATGGCACAGGCAGGGAGGCCAGCCAACAGCGAGTTGCAGTAATCCAGACGGGAGATGACAAGTGCCTGGATTAGGACCTGTGCCGCTTCCTGTGTAAGGCAGGGTCGTACTCTCCGAATGTTGTAGAGCATGAACCTGCAGGAGCGGGTCACCGCCTTGATGTTAGCGGAGAACGACAGGGTGTTGTCCAGGGTCACGCCAAGGCTCTTCGCACTCTGGGAGGAGGACACAACGGAGTTGTCAACCGTGATGGCGAGATCATGGAACGGGCAGTCCTTCCCCGGGAGGAAGAGCAGCTCCGTCTTGCCAGGGTTCAGCTTGAGGTGGTGATCCGTCATCCATACTGATATGTCTGCCAGACATGCAGAGATGCGATTCGCCACCTGGTTATCAGAAGGGGGAAAGGAGAAGATTAGTTGTGTATCGTCAGCGTAGCAATGATAGGAGAGGCCATGTGAGGATATGACAGAGCCAAGTGACTTGGTGTATAGGGAGAAAAGGAGAGGGCCTAGAACTGAGCCCTGGGGGACACCAGTGGTGAGAGCACGTGGTGCGGAGACAGCTTCTCGCCACGCCACTTGGTAGGAGCGACCGGTCAGGTAGGACGCAATCCAGGAGTGAGCCGCGCCGGAGATGCCCAGCTCGGAGAGGGTGGAGAGGAGGATCTGATGGTTCACAGTATCAAAGGCAGCAGACAGGTCTAGAAGGACAAGAGCAGAGGAGTGAGAGTTAGCTTTAGCAGTGCGGAGAGCCTCCGTGACACAGAGAAGAGCAGTCTCAGTTGAATGACCAGTCCTGAAAACTGACTGGTTTGGATCAAGAAGGTCATTCTGAGAGAGATAGCAAGAGAGTTGGCTAAAGACGGCACGCTCAATAGTTTTGGAAAGAAAAGAAAGAAGGGACACTGGTCTGTAGTTGTTGACATCAGTGGGATCGAGTGTTGGTTTTTTGAGAAGGGGAGCAACTCTCGCTCTCTTGAAGACGGAAGGGACATGGCCAGCGGTCAAGGATGAGTTGATCAGCGAGGTGAGGTAGGGGAGAAGGTCACCGGAGATGGTCTGGAGAAGAGAGGAGGGGATGGGGTCAAGCGGGCAGGTTGTTGGGCGGCCTGCAGTCACAAGTCGCAGGATTTTATCTGGAGAGAGAGGGGAGAAAGAAGTCAAAGCATAGGGTAGGGCAGTGTGAGTAGGACCAGCAGTGTCATTAGACTTAACAAACGAGGATCGGATGTCGTCAACCTTCTTTTCAAAGTGGTTGACGAAGTCATCCACAGAGAGAGAGGAGGGGGGGGGGGGAGGGGGGGAGGATTCAGGAGGGAGGAAAATGTGGCAAAGAGCTTCCTAGGGTTAGAGGCAGATGCTTGGAATTTAGAGTGGTAGAAAGTGGCCTTAGCAGCAGAAACAGATGAAGAAAATGTAGAGAGGAGGGAGTGAAAAGATGCCAGGTCGGCAGGGAGTTTAGTTTTCTTCCATTTCCGCTCCGCTGCCCGGAGCTCTGTTCTGTGAGCTCGCAATGAGTCATCAAGCCACGGAGCTGGAGGGGAGGACCGAGCCGGCCGGGAGGATAGGGGACACAGAGAGTCAAAGGATGCAGAAAGGGAGGAGAGGAGGGTTGAGGAGGCAGAATCAGGAGATTGGAGGGAGAAGGATTGAGCAGAGGGAAGAGATGATAGGATGGAAGAGGAGAGAGTAGTGGGAGAGAGAGAGCGAAGGTTGCGGCGGCGCATTACCATCTGTGTAGGGGCAGAGTGAGTAGTGTTGGAGGAGAGCGAGAGAGAAAAGGAAACAAAGTAGTGGTCGGAGACATGGAGGGGAGTTGCAGTGAGATTAGTAGAAGAGCAGCATCTAGTAAAGATAAGGTCAAGCGTATTGCCTGCCTTGTGAGTAGGGGGGGACGGTGAGAGGGTGAGGTCAAAAGAGGAGAGGAGTGGAAAGAAGGAGGCAGAGAGAAATGAGTCAAATGTGGACATAGGGAGGTTGAAATCCCCCAAAACTGTGAGGGGTGAGCCATCCTCAGGAAAGGAACTTATCAAGGCGTCAAGCTCATTGATGAACTCTCCAAGGGAACCTGGAGGGCGATAGATGACAAGGATATTAAGCTTAAATGGGCTAGTGACTGTGACAGCATGGAATTCAAATGAGGAGATAGACAGGTGGGTTAGGGGAAAAATTGAGAATGTCCACTTGGGAGAGATGAGGATTCCTGTGCCACCACCCCTCTGACCACATGGTCAGACGAGGAGAGAGCAGTAGGAGTAGCAGTGTTTTCAGTGGTAATCCATGTTTCCGTCAGCGCCAGGAAGTCGAGGGACTGGAGGTTAGCATAGGCTGGGATGAAGTCAGCTTTGTTGGCAGCAGAACGGCAGTTCCAGAGGCTGCCTGAGACCTGGAACTCCAGGTGTGGGGTGCGTGCAGGGACCACCAGGTTAGAGAGGCAGCAGCCACGCGGTGTGAGGCGTTTGTGTAGCCTGTGCAGAGAGGAGAGAACAGGGATAGGCAGAGGCATAGTTGACAGGCTGTAGCAAATGGCTACAATAATGCAGAGGAGATCGGAATGAAATGAACTAAACATCTGGAAGAAGAGAGAGCAGGGCCTCCCTCACCAAAACTTCCACCTCAGAAACTATAATTGTTTCACTGAACCACCCGAACAAAAACTCTCCCAACTTCCACCTTTAGAAATCAGAATTGTTGTGAACCACAGCGGTTCAATGTTTAAAGGAGTAGACTCAACCCACTTTATTCAGCTAGCTAACTATGACACCATAGCTAACTAGCATGCTAGCATCCAATAACACACAGTTTAGCACCAACACTTGGTCACAACAAACCACCAATAGTGTGTTAACACACTAAGCAGATAATTCGTGTCCGTGTCTAGTTCCTTTCATAACGCAGCAATAATTAAACGTTGGCTAGCTTAGCACAAATATATTGTATTTAGCTGCCACAGTACAGCACACAATGGCTACTGTGTTGACTCTGTTCGAAAAACGGCTAGCTAGCTAGCTTCGTGCTACACCGAAGACAATGCCAACCTACAGTAACTACCCACAACAGCCCACGATGCCTAACTATGACGCCATAGCTAACTAGCATGCTAGCATCCAATAACACACAGTTTAACACACAGTTTAAAAATTAAACGTTGGCTAGCTAGCACATTAACATTGGAAACAACTCTCCACCGTTGTTAAACGTTACCAGTAGCTACCCGCTAGCTAGCTAGCTAGCCTCGTGCTTTCTCCGGGCTCCGCCGTAAACAATACTTACCTACAATAATTACCTACGGAAACCTACAATAACTACCTAAATAAACTACCTACAATACCTAACTACAACTACCTACCTACGATCAAATGCATGGTTTAAGCTTTACTCAACACCATATAAGAAGCCAAGCTTACCTCAAGCTTACCTCCTGCTAGAGAAAACACAACCTCTCCCGACAAAAATACCAGCTAAATAAAATCAACCTACAGTAGAGCAATACGATAATGATGGGTGATGGTTTGACTGTTTTACCCTACACAGAGTAAAAATGACACAATCACACTCAACTCTGGCTATTAAAGACATGCTCTAGAACTTTGGCGATTAGTAAGTATTTTTTCAACCTCACGATTTTGGCTGGATTTGTCAATGTGTAGTTCATACATGCATAATCTACCTCAATTAGCCACGAAATCCCTAGTTTAAAACCGATGGTTTACTGGAAGTTGTGCAGCACCATTTTCCCTACATTTTCCCCCCACGTGGGCCAGCCTCGTAGCAATTCGAGTTCCAGCCAATGAGGTTCAGCCCCTCGCCATTTGAGTGACAGCTAGCAAGATGCACACACAGCAGAGCGAGACAGAGAGAGCAATGACACATATGTGAAGTAGTACGCAATTTTCGGGGACCACTTTTTAAACATATCAGATTACTCAAACTCCTGATGCTCAGGCACTAATGCTCAGGTACTATTTAAAAGAGAAACATACAATAAAAAAGCTTATTCAGAAGGGTTCTATGTAGAATCCTTCTTGCCATACAAAGAATCATCAAAGAAACCTTTCTTCCAAAAAATAGTTCTTAGAATGAAAAAGGTTTGAGGTAGAACCCTTTGCCTTTCAAGGAACCCTCGTCTCCCAGAAAGGGGTCTTCAGATGAAAATGGTTCTTCGTAGAACCCTATCCCTCAGCAAAGAACCCTTTTAGAACCCTTTTTTCTAAGAGTGTAGAATTGTAGTAGTTACAGTATGTAGGTGAGTAACTGTTGTGTGGTCTCAGGTGGAGGACATGGAGAAGAAGCTGGACTTCCTGGTGGACATGCACATCCAGCACACTGAGCACCTTCAGGTGGACTCGGCCGGCGCCGCCCACATGACCATGGAGCCCCTTGACCCTGTGACAGGCAACACCTTGTGCGGCTCTGACGACAAGGAGGGCTGTGGTTACACCGAGATCCGCCGGGTCTTCTTCAACTACACAGAGACATGCCCCCAAATGTCCTACCAGGTGCCTGTGAGCAAGGTGACGCCTTACTACAGCTTCCGCAGGGAGCCCAGTGCTGCAGCTGGAGGGGCGGGAGGAGTTGGGGGACTGGGGCTGCCTGGGGGTGGCTACATCCCCCCTGACCATCAACTCCCACCTGGCCACCACCCAGCCCCGATCCCTACCTACACAGAGCGGCCAACCGTACTCCCCATCAGCTCCCTCCTGGACACCCAGGTGGCTGGACGGGATGGAGGGCATGGGCCCCACAGTCCCTACACGGAGCACCTCACGCTGGGGCTGGGCAGGACCATGGGGCAGAGGGCGGCGACGGACACGTCGCCACTATCCATGCTCTCTGTGAACCACGAGGAGCTGGAGCGCTCACTCAGCGGGTTCAGTATATCGGGGGAGCGCGAGGATAGGGAGGACCCCATGCTGGGGGCATCAGGGGGGTCGGGAGGGTTGCAGGACAGGCGTTACCTGGCAGAGGGGGAGACGGACACAGACACGGAACCCTTCACGCCCAGCGGGGGTGGGGGGCAACTCCCCATGTCATCCACGGGAGAGGGCTTCCCTGATTCTGTATGGAACACACCCCCCTGAGTCGCACCTCGCTTTTCTTCCTTAATCTTACACCTCCCCACCAACCTTATTTAGTTTGAGTCAAATCGACAACCTTAAGCCCCTAAACCCATGCCTCTAAAAGCCAGTTGTCTTTTGGGTTAAACGGACATCACTGAACTCAACGCAGTGTAAGTTCAATCGGCACATGTCAATTATTTTGGGTGAAATCCATGTCTCTACACACAAGTCAGTTTGGATCGACTTTATCCCCATAGACCCCAATTCAATTCGGATTTAATTGACACTGAAACCTGACTCAATTTGGTTTACACCCTACACTCAATGTGTGACCCAATGGCCCAAAGAAAGCCAAGGTCTCAAGACTGCGTACACACACGAAAATAAAAGACACCGTTTGTATAGTAAACACTTTGTCAAGTACAGCGCACTCATCACAACATACATTCACAACATACATAACGCTAAGATGAAAAAAAGATATAGCATTAATATAAATATATACGCCCAAACCTTTATCGCTGCAAAGCAAACCGCACTGCATGTACCGCATGCAATTTTTTGTCGGAGACACTGCAATGTTCAGGTTTCAGGAAAAAGAAAACAATTTTGAATGGGTACTTATAAATACTGTCATTTTTTGTAATACTTATTTTTTATATATAAATACATTGTATTTTTTTTGCATGGTTTGCATGATGATGCACCATTTACAGACAGTTGACCTGGATATTTTTAACTAAAAGTCTCCTGCCTCATTCTTTAATACAGTACATGTGTTGCTTATTAATGTATGTGTGAGTTGGGGAAAGAATGACAAGCCAGAGAGAAAAGACAACTTCCACTTCCTTTTTGTCAATAGACAATATAGGGGTGTTTACAAAGGGATGTCCCTTCTTTCATGCTGTGCGGTTTTTGAAAGGTTGTTTTAGTTCCTATCAGAAATACATTCATACATAAAATCATAGTCATTAATTCACTATTATCCTTAAATGAGAGAACTCTTCCTCTTCATTGACACACCACATATTTATTTGGCATACAGTAGTTCTTGCATCTAAAAACAAAACTTCAGGACAACTCAAGTAAGTTCTATGATGAGGCATGGTAAGAACCAATTCTTGCATGATAAGTTACAGATCAGTTGGCAGATATGGTTAACTGTCACAAACTGACATCAGGCTTAAAGTGAATTTGCACAAGCCACTTCTAGATTAGAATAAACAGTTATCTAGCAAGATTGCATCACAAATTCTGATTCCATAATTTTAAAAAATACATATTGTATGTACTTAGACTTATAACAAATGACTATATAAATAGTACAATATCTGAAAACAGCTAGAATAATACCATAATATGACATATGTCTATGTCATAAATATATAATCTACATAGTATGTCAAATCAGAAAACAGTGACAATATCATTACATTTTCACAGAATGTAATGCCAAGTGTAGCATGATGTAGGTCAACTTCAACGATAAGTGAAAAAATTGTGTAATGTCTTATTTTATTACTGAGAGCAGATTGGCAAATAAATCACAGTGATGTGAATCATTTGAAGAAATATGAACAAAAGTGAAATATTTATTCCCCCCTCACTAATGTAACATTGAAGTTATAGTGTTTTTCCAAAATGGTTTATTTTCTTTTTGGTTTAATTGGACAATTGAGCAAATAGTCAGGGATGTTTCTTTATAGTTGTCAGTCCAGCGAGCAAAACTGTTTGCAATTACGTCATTATGCTGTCTTTTATGACGGCATGGTCTGAGGAAGATTTGCTAACGTCTTTTTAACAACCAGAAAAGTGTAATCTGACCAAATAACAACAATTTATTGGAATGAAACAAAATGCCTTTATCTGGTTGTAATCTGGATATGTGACATCTTCTCAACCAGAAATACAGCATCCAGACAAAGTGAAGTCTTTAAGACTTAATTAGCCAAATTTTTGACTCAAAGGTTAAATCTATCTACATGTTTATATTTTACAATACAGATTGTAAAATAGAGATATCTATGTAACATGTTTGTATTTGCGGTGAAAGGTGACAGCGCTAGAGCGGTGTTTGTCAGACCATGAGACATCCCGAATATCAGTCTTCTCACAAAATCGTCTGTAGCGTCCAAACGATTATGACCACTCTATGGAAAGACGAGACTCTCACGAACACGATGGTGTTTTCCGTTTTGCTCTACAACCCCAACAAGCGTCTTGGGACTCGTCTGAAGTCGGTACAGCCGATCTACCAACTTCTGTCTGTAGCGTCCACAGTTTGGGCTACACACTAATATGACCCCTCTGTGTAAAGGTGAGACTCTCACGAACATCTCGGTTGTTTTGCTCTAGGACGCCCACAGGCCTCATAAGACTCGTTTGAAGGTCCCCCGGTACCAGTTGAAAAAATGAATGGAAGTATATATGAAGACTGTTTAGTGACAAGAATAAGGGGTTAAATAAATGTCAAAAAAAAAAATCTCTCATATATGATACACTTCAGAACAAACTTCCTTTAGAGAATTTTTTTGGGGACTCTCTGTTGTTCCATATAGTGAATCTGTTATTCAATGCGTTTGTATGGGCTAATAGCAGTAAAGCCAAATAAAATATTATCAAATAATTGTTGTATATATATTTTTTATACTTCAAGGGGTCTTAAAATTCTAAATCAAATAGCAAAATGATCCTAGGTATGACCTTCTTAAAACAATTCCATATAGCTTAGTAGTACCCCCTCCCCCCCGGCTTAGACTTATGGGTTAATAGCTAAATCAGTTTGGAACTAACTATTAACGTATGTGTAGATTTAGCATGGATAGTCAAAAGTAATTGTCTGCCGTTACCAGAGAGGTGAATAGCTCAATTGATTATGACAGTCTTACATTGTAAAATATGACAAAACTCACATTGAAAGCAAAGTAAAAGAAAACGGTTTTAAGTCGACTTTTGAAGGTCATATAACCATAGAGACTAAACAAAGATATCCCCATGTACACTAGAGCCGCGTCTTTCTTGTGCCTCTTACAGCTTGTTTCTAGCCTAAAGCATTGCAGAGTTATGCATCCTATACATGTATATAATCCGTCTTTGGGGGGGCATTTGGACGTGAGCTAGCTAACATTTACATTTTAGTCATTTAGCAGACGCTCTTATCCAGAGCGACTTACAGTTAGCGCATACATTATTTTATCGAACCCACAACCCTGGCGTTGCAAACGCCATGCTCTACCAACTGAGCTACACCCCCTGCCGGCCATTCCCTCCCCTACCCTGGACGACGCTAGGCCAATTGTGCACCGCCCCATGGGTCTCCCGGTCGCGGCCGGCTACGACAGAGCCTGGATTCGAACCAGGATCTCTAGTGGCACAGCTAGCACTGCGATGCAGTGCCTTAGACCACTGCGCCACTCGGGAGATGTAACGTTAGGTATCTTCTGTGTCAAGGTCAGCGGTTGTCTGCTAATGGCTGAAGTAATTTGTGTAAAAACCTTCCATGCCCAAATATAGCTATCTACCTTTCTTTGCCTGTTCGTTAGCTAGCTAGCTTTCAGCTGACTTTGGATAAGCAAGCTAATATTAGCTATCTAATGTTAAATAACTTTACAGTATTACGTTGGCTAATGTTACCTAGCTAACTGGCTATCATAGCAGCCAAGGACGTTCGCTAGCTTATTTGTGCATACGTGTTTGTGCTTTGTGTCTAGGTCAGCAGTTTACGCAGATGACATCAGCCTTATATGAAAAACCTTCCTTGGCAAAAAGATTGCTAGCTAGCTTTCCTTGCTTGTTGGTTAGCGACCTAGCCAACGTTAGCTCTCGTCTGACTGGTATAACGTTACATTAGCTAGCTAGCTATCTACAGCTACCGTCTACAGCTAGCTTATCAAATTGGAAACAGCTCATTGATAACAACCAACCAATTTTTTCATGTCAGACAATTATCTGTATGCATTTTGAATACCAACATATATCTACAGTAGCCTAGGTTTGTTCTCAACCACTTCTTATGCTTGGTGCAGGCATAAGAAGCTGTGTTATTGAGTTGCTGAACAACCTAGTTGCTGGGCCCGGTTTTAGATAGAACTCTTGAGATTCGGCTGAACAATATGTTAGCATTGTTAGAAATGCTACAAAAAGGTAGCACCTCGTTGGTTCTCCATTGGCACGTGAGAGCGATAAATTATACATTTAATAAAAACTGTTGCACCTACAAATGTATTCAGTCCGAAAGGTGGCAAGTCTAATGGTCACTTTATGGACGCTGTAGTCTCGTTCTTATCCGATGCCTAGATCTTGAGCTAGGTCGGGTCGTGCCAGAAGATACCGACCCTACCATTACGCTTGTTTATGCTGAGATGCACTGGGGTCGGAACGCAATCATGGTTACATTAAGACACCGTGGAGCCGGCGTGTGATATTGGTCAGAAAACGTACCTCAATGCAGGGATGGGATATGCCACTGTACTCCAAATTTGACCTTTATCCTCACTGCTCCATGAAAACTGCCCTCTTCATCCTCAAGAAATGGTATTTCTCCTAATGCTAACGACCCTGTTAAAATTCCAGTATGTGGTTTTCGGTAAGGGCTGAACGGATAATGACGAGAGGCGGGGAGTGTGTTTTGTACCTCCAATCAGGTTGATTTGCGAAGTTTCATCGACATTGGTGTAATATTGGCTTAGAAAAACATTAGGGAGATTTTAATTTAACATGGAGTTTAAACCAATCCCATACTATAGTCGAGCCTATAATATCACATAACACTTCACTGACTGTCAGATAATATAGCAAATGAGAATCAGTTTATTGATGAAAGATGTACAGTACCAGCTCTTTTGTATTATTCTGCCTTTAAAGCCCCAATGCAGCAATTTTTTTTTATAAATATCAAATCATTTCTGGCTAACAATGAAGTAAGTACATTACTGAAATAGATTTCCATTAAAATGGGCAAACATAGCTTTTTAGAAAAAACCTTTCGCAAGCAAGATTTTTTCTAGGACTGTCTGTGA